AGGCACTTCCTTGGCACGTGATCACAGAAGAACGCAGGTACTGCGGAACGCGTCGCGTCGAACAGGACGCCGCGAGGGCACGCGACACGCTTGCGGTAAGATCGGATAGAAAAAGAATACTCGTAACTGTTTCTCTCTGTTTCCTGTACGTCCGTCTGTCTGTCGGTCTGTCCGTCTTCATGGAAGAAAAGAACGGTGTTACCCCTGCAGTAACAAGGTGATTCGGTAACGCATTTAGATAGATATCGGTCGCGCGATAACGGTGATAATTATTTTCACTATGACGATGACAAATGACGATGACGAAGATGACGATAATTCCTTTCGATGGCAATAATATAAATGACACGATTGGCGATGATCGTTATGATGTCGATGAAGATGATAATTTGTAATAACAATAACAATAATAATAATAATATTACGTAGTATTAATAATTAATAATAATTAATAATAATAATAATAATAATAATAATAGTGACAACAACAATTATAATTAAAGAAAAGAGAAAAATGCATTCCACTACGCAGGTGTAAATCATTTCCTTTCGAATGTTCTTCCTTATTTTTTTTTACCCTCGGATTTCAATACGATTCGTAATTGAAACACTCTTTTCCTTCGTTTCCTTATGTTTCGCTTTGTACACGTCGTATAAATAAGTAGGAGCAAATGATTCATCTAACAGCTAATAACTTAGTAGAAAGAATACGCGTGGAAATATCTACAAGTATGTATAAAACCATTGTTGTATTGGCAACGCGCGCGGCCGTTTCCCGTGCGAACAGCTTTCTCCGAGGTGGATCGGCACGATGATTCCCCCGTCGGCGAGAGATCGTGGACCGAGAGAACCGTGTTCTCTCTATCTCTCTCGTTTGATCGAAAAATAATTCCCTTCGTCGTCGAGTTGTACAATACAAAATGGCAGTTGTGTTGCGGTAAAACGCGCGGCGCGCGGACGAGGGCGTGACGGAAGATGGAGGGCTTGACGAACGCGAGGATATTTTGCTCTAATACTGCTGCTGCTACCGGACTCGTCTTCGGCTTCCGGGACGATCGTCGAGCGTTCTTCGGGCCGCCGCGCGAGGGACGCCGGCGCCCGCTTCGATCGGAAGAGACCCGCCCGTCCAACGGAATCCTCCGATTTTCGGGGAACCCCTCCGGTGGTTCTTTATCGTTTTTTTGTTCTGGCATTGTCGGTCGTAAGGCACGTAACGTGTTCGTTAAAGGAAAAGGGACGCTATATAAAAATGTAAAATCTGCACTCGCTTATCTCACTCGCTCACTCACTTTATCCGCTTCTTTCACTCTCGCTCTCTCATTCGCTCTCACTCTCTGTCTTCTCCTACCCTCCACTGACCCTCCTCTCCCCCTCGATCTCTCTCTGTCTCTCTTTGTCTCTCCGTTATCTGCTCCCCGCGACACGTATATTCGCACGCACGTTCTGGCACACACTTTCGCTCATTTCTCATTCCATTTAAATATCGCGTAGAAACCAGGCGCTTGACTCGAATCAATAAGACAGTCCTCCGAGCGCAACGCTGACGCGTTCAGGAGGAGCTGTTCGACGTTTGATGGTCCGTAAGGTGTCTTTCGGATCAACCCGCGTTCTCCAACGCGGAGTCGACGCTTCTGTCGACGGCGTTAAGCTGTCGATGCATGAATTATTCGCGCGATCCGCACGAACACGATAGGAATGGACGCCCTCGAAGCGAACGTGTTGTCTCCTCGAACGAGCGGGTCCCTCGCGGTCGAGTCGACGGCAAGGTGGCACGGATGAGGCGAGCAAATGAAAGAGGAAAAGAGAGAACGAGAGAAACGGCGAACGAGCGTCCGTCGCGCGGCCGGACGCGTTGTCAATGCTGCGTCTCCGATATGGTCTTCACAGGCTCCAAGCCTTGCTTCTCGTGCCTCTCCTCGTCCTTGTCCGGGTTGTCCCACGACTGCCTCTGCCCGGAGCCGAAGATGATGTAGAAGATCGCGCACACGATGTACACGCCCGCAGAGATCATGAAGACCAGCCTCCATTTCGCCTGCGTCGGCTGCGAACAAAGAAATCCGTTAACGCGACGCACTGGCACATGCTAACCTGAAACTCTGCGACAAAGGTAGCGTCCTCTTGAATCGACTCCTGGAGTACCTAGAGCTTGTATGTTTTCAACGACAGATAGGTGCTAAGTAGGATTGGTCTTAGGTCTAAAAAAAGGTACTCTGCTTTTAGGCATCTGCAAACTCAAGACATCAGGTTTTTGAAACTTCTACCCTGACACTACACCACATGCAACCACCTACAACCATATCTCAGTACTCATGACGCAATAACACTCTACAGCTCCCTAGATAAATCCTGGTAAACGGGACCAAGTATCCCTGGTACAGGCATCTCCGCCGAACTCCGTCGACGGGATTCGTCTGGCTTAGAGGATCGAAATGGGACGAACGACAGAAGTAATTACCGTTCCGACGATTATATATCCGGCGGTGATAGGGGCGAGAAGACCGGCGAGATTCGCCAGGCAATTGGTGAAGGACATCAGCACGCCGGCGAACCTCGGCGAGATGTCCAGGTGGTTCACTTTGAATCCGGAATAGATGCCACCGTTCAAGCCCACGCCGACGGTCAGGATCGTCACCGTCAGCCAGGAGCTGCAGCTGGTGAACGAGGCGGCGATCAATGCGATCGCCGGCCCGAACTGGCCGATGCTGTTTATGATTTTCCTTGTGTACGTATGGTTGAACTTGCCGGTCGAGATCATCCAGTCGGCCACGTGCGAGATTACCATGGAGAAGATCCACATGGCCAGGTACGGGAGTGAGGAGATAGTGCCGTTCTGAAACAAGTATGTGACGTTCATCATGACCGTTGCACCATCAAGATGATGGTTGACTATACAGGGTGGATCATGTACAGTTACTGACGTCATCCTAGCCTGTGGCTCAGAAGTGAACAGGGGCAGGGACACGCCCACTCCCGGCGCTCGGCCAGTAGTAACAGCGGAACTAGTCTAGACACGCCTTTCTTCCAATCCTTGCCCTGTTCACTCCTGAGCCACTTTTGGCTGTGAGTAACGCAGTGCAACTAGGGGTTCCTGAATAGACAGCTTACCGATTTGATGTCGAAGTGAAGTATCTGCTTCATGAAAGTCGGCAACTCGGTCATCAAGGTCTCGTATCCGTAGTTCTGGCCCATGTGAGCGATCAAGATAGCCCAGAAGGGGAAGGACGTAACGATGGACCGCCACGGCACTGGAGGAGACTGAACAGATGGGAGGAGCGTCGCGGAACGCCCAGATTAGCGAATCGAACGGGCAGTAGAATAAAATACATAGAGGCTGATCCATCGTGCAAGGGAGGAGCCTCGTCTCGTTCGAGTCTGTCAACGCAGACCAAGTCGACCAGCCGATACTCACCGAAGCTCCAGCGCTGCCCCACAGAGCGCTCAGTATATACTTCTTCTCGTCCTCGGCGATGCGCGGATGGCTCTCCGGGTCCTCGTACACCATCAGCAGGAACGCGATGCACCAAAGGCTGCCGACCGCTCCGAACACATAGAAGATCGATGGCCAGCCACCGTCGAAACCGTACTCGGACAGAATTCCGCTCAACGGCATGGATATCACCGTACCGAATTGAGCACCTGTGTCGCGGTTGAAAAAAAATACAAATAAGTCACAGAATCGTCACGAAGGTAGCATAGTCGACAACAGGCATGGTCAAGCCGGCGTTCGAGCCAGATTTTCGGTGAGTCGAGAGCCAAAGATTCTAGCCGGCGAGGCCACGCCCCTCGGGGATCCAAGAGTCGCATGGTGGGGATGCCACGCCCCCTCTCGGAGGTCCAAGAGTCGTCCGTAGGTGAGGCCACGCCCTCTCGGAGATCCAAGGGTCGCATGGTGGGGAGAATCAGCGTTCTCAAACTTTCTCGGCTCCGTCTGGCTCTCGAGCCAGCCGAGGGCTCTTCGCGAGAGCCCTACGACTTGGACATGCCTGCTGCTCGAGGAAACAAAACGGGAGATAGAGACAGAGACAGAGATAGAGAGAGATAGAGAGAGAAATAGAGGCGTGTCGCGGGTAACATCGATCCGGCCACAGCCTGCGAACACGTTTGGCTCCATCGGTGGGCCGCGGTAGGCGATAGAACGGCGGAGAAGGATTCGCGCGGCGAAAGGAGGACTAGGGCCTCGAAGATCGGTACCGAGGATGGCAGCGAACGAGCTTACCGGCATACACGAAGGCTCCCATCCTACTGCGTTCATTCGGCGGTATCCACTTGGCCAGCATCGCGTGCGTGCAAGGCACAATTGGACCCTGCAATAGGGATAATCCATTCCTAGGGGCAGGAAATACACCCGAACGATCAAAAAGCGTTCACACATCACGTTTATTTTTCGTCGAGTTAGTGTTTTTCTTTTCTTTTTTTTCTTTCTTTTGTTCCGTTCAACCTGTTCACCGGGAGGGGAGATCGTGACTCACGCCGGTCGCCTCGCATTCCTTTCCCGAGTGACGGCAATTAACGGAAATCGTTACGTGACCCTTACTCGCTTCACTTTGTTGTTATTACTGTTAGCTTCGCTCCGCGATACGCGTATCTCCCCGCTTTAACCCCTTGCCGTGCAATGACGAGTAACACTGAAGATTTCTAGACTAGTTTGGCAATCAATGGTGATCGTTATCCACGGATCAAAGTGTCACTGTTTCGCTATCAATGGATTGTCTTCGAATGAAACCTGCTTGAAGTAGAATGGACGATTTTGATACTTTTGGTGAAATTTACGCGACCGACAGCTGTTCAAATATTTCTACTGAAAAACTTCCGAGCGCAAAGGGTTAAACGGGGAAATTCAATTAGCCGATGACGAATGACGATTCCGCGGTCTCCGGTTCGTCGAAGTTTTTCGAGGCCACGCCCCAGTGAACAGGTTGACGTTCATTCGCTCTTTCTTGTCCCGCGATTCGTTCCAAGATCGAGAGAGAAAAGGATCAACTTACCTCGCCCAGACCCTGGATGAACCGAACCCCCATTAGCCAATAGTATCCCTTCCTCGCCGATACAGGCACCAACAGCCCGAACACCGAGTTGATCAGCATGCCGACGCCTAGGAAGTACTTGGACCCGTACCGTTTCGCGAGTATGCCGAACGGTATCTGCGTGATCACGTACCCGTAGAAGAACGAGCTCAACAAGTAACCCTGCATCGTGCTGTCCCACGGGAAGTCACCGTCGCTGTGGCTCTGCAACAGCAATGAACCCATTAAGTTCCATGAAATTTTTCTTTTGAATTTTTAGACGAAATTCTGTATGTAGTAATGTGTCTATCTTGGAAAAATAGTGAAAAAAATCTGACATACTCAATATATATTATATATAGCAGTGGCACATTCATATCACCTAATGTAAATGTTGATAACATTGTTTCTATTCAATAGTGCATATAAATAGAGTTTTCATTATTCTGGAAACATTTATTTCGTAATTCCAACTTGCGAAAGTTTTAACCTTCATTTCAAATTATTTATAAATAACAGTTAACCCTTTGCACTCAAGAATATTTTTCTCCACAAATACTCATTATTTTCTGATGAAACATCAACGATATTTTTTGCAACTAACACTAAGAAATACCTTGTATAAATTAAGTCACAGAACTATTTCATTTTGCTGTTCCATGTATTGATACATTATAGAAAATTTAATATTGAATCCTAAATTTTATCATTTCGTTCGGTCAAATCTCTCGAGTGCAAAGAGTTAATAGTTATTTCAAATTTTATAAATAATTTCTCGCGGCAATCATGACCATTCTGTAAATTTTCAGAACTTTAAATGAAGTGTAAATTTTATCTGGAAATAAAGCCTGATTCAATTTGTTCATTCTAAATACCAACTCGTATTTATCCTAATCATTAGATACGTTATTCATTAACAAATTGTCTATAACAATTTAGAGTGATTTATTAAAAGATCACTGGGACTTACAGCCGCGGCGGCAGTTATGTTGTGATCGTATCCGCACTCGTTGGTCACCACATCGTGCTCGTCTGTATCCCTGAGGGCTGTGTGGTTCACCATCGCGACGATCGCCACGGACATGTTGGTCCTCATCACATAGGCGTTCGCCATGCCCAGGAAAAGCATGAAGGTGACGATGTGGCGCGATCCCAGTAACCCTGAAACATCGGAAATCGGTCGTCAGCTCCATGCCTGGTAATCTCCGTAACGATACGTTTCGTTTGGAACTTTGATCGCTAACACCGACTCGGCGAATCGCGAACTATTGTGTCGACAAATAAATCAACATGGGAAAAGAATATCTAACCGAGTAATCGAGGTTTCACTAAGATATTCAAATTTCGTTTCCACACGTATTTTTCGAAAAGGAATCTTCCGAGTAGAGAAATAAAATAAGAAACGAGTTCGATACCGACAAATAAATCGAGATGGAAAAAGAAGACTAGACCATCACGTTCCTCGGTCTAGCCCTTTGCGGTCCGAAGTGCTCTTGGTTTCTCACTTTCAGGTTCACTTCAATGATAGTTGATTCGATTGTAGCTTAACCCTTTGCACTCGACAATATTTTCCATTAAAGATATTCATCACTTTCTGACCAAATATCAACGATATTTTTCGCAACTAACGCGATTGCTTATTTTATATAAATTAAGGGACAGAACTATTTTATTTCGATGTTCTATGCGTTGATACGTTGCACACGGTTTAACATCGAATTGAAAATTTTATAAGTTTGCTGCGTCGAATCAGGTGGCGACTGAAAGACGCCTCTCGAGTGCAAAGGGTTAATATGAGTCATTGAAATGTTACCTTTAAATGGTACAACTGTGATACTATAAATACAGAAAAAATTGTTAAAACAGGTAGAGGTTGCAATAAAATAGAATGTCGAGTCTGACTCGAGGACTGCCAAGGGCTAGCCATCGCGGCCGGTCGCCGTTCAACCCTTCGCCGATTGCACAACCGAAAGGCAGCGTCGGGAAAGTGACGATGATGCCACTGTCAACTAAGATAACGCGTATCTGGCAGCGAGAACGCGGTGACACTTCGTTAGCTCGTTCCTCGCGGGCAATTCATCGATCATAATAGCAGACGCGATCGGATTGTACGGTCGCCGATACAGGTGCAGATCTCTCGCTCTTAGCGGACCGTTCTCGGTATTCTGATTATAGCTCTGATAAGCTCCGATAGCGAGCTGCAGTCGAAAGACCGATACAGCGGACACTGGATAATTGCGACACAAATCGGGACCATTGCGATTATCACGGGTCTCCTCCTCGCGAGCCGATGTTAAAAACTTAACCGGTTTTTGCAGAAACCCCGACAAATGGCAGACGATCGCGCTACCGATTCAATTTCGAAACCGAATGACGCTTTATTTTTACTAGATGTTGACTCTTGCGGAGATTCTTTGGAATGTAGGGAACCTTTAATGGATAAAGGGAAATTATATATTACTTAGCATTTCAGATGGTTTTGTAATCAGCACCTGTAACTAATTTTTGGAGTATCCCTAGCGAAAATGAAAAATACCGTAACATTTCTTAGATCTTTTATTTTCCTTAGTGCAAAATTTGGATGAAAAATCGAATAATTGTAGGGTAGTTTCTTTGATTCATTAAAATATTTGATATTATTCCTGGTGCAATATTGGAGCAGAGTTCAAGGGGTTAACACTAAAACTACCGAACAGTTGAAGTTCGTCTATAGAAACTTCAAGAATGCGTTTATTGAGACTTCAGTTCGCGCATTGATCAATCAATTTCTCGGAGAAACATCTGTTGGCTTTTCGGTAATTGCGAAACGAAGAAATCAGGAATAGGTCATTTTGAGCCGTCTGGTAGGTTTAGTGTTAATTGCTTAAATTATAGGAGAAACTACATGCTAATCTCTCGCTGGCCGAGTAACTCGATTATTTTGTTGGATTAAATTGTCGACATTCGTTCGCAAAGGGTTAACCCTTTGCACTCTAGAGGTGACTCTCAGTCACCACTCGATTCGATACAACAAAACTAAAGTGAAATATTTCATATTTCAAATTAAACTTCGCATTGTTACGTGAAATATTGAAATAAAGCACCTTCGTTGTTTAATTTATCTGTGAATCATCGTTAAATTAGTTTCAAACAATATCGTCTATATCTCATTGGAAATTTCGGATATTTCTAACGACAAACTTTCGAGTGCAAAGAGTTAACTCGTGACCGGTCAACAATGCATTAACACTAGAACTACATACCAATCAAAACGATTTCGATCTGTTTAGCAATTATTGATATCTTCGAAGCATCGAACATTCGAAACGATTCCGAAACTACATAGTGTCCTTTGAATACTACAATGAATGCCTAAAGAAACCGAAAATAATCTGTTACAATTTTTACGGGAATTCTGATACATAACACGCTTCTCGCAGTCGTGTTAATGATTTACACTTCGATCGAACCCAACTTTCGAGCTGCTCGGTACAACGATAGCTCCTCGAAAGGACAAATCTCAGACGTTCCAGGGAAACTGGAGGAACGATCCAGGTCGAGCGATCGGAACGAATCTCGCTCCTCGGGGACGATTATCAATTATCCATCCGAGATCGACAAAGCGACCCCGGTTGCGTCACTTGGCTCGCAGACTCGGCTGCTACCTACGTCGTGTTTGCGACCAAGTCCTTCCCTTCGCCTCGCCACTTCCCTTCTTCTAGGGACGAGCTAAAGAGGGAAAGAGAGCGAGGAGGGAATCGGATCGGGGGCCGAGGGGAGGAAGAAATTACGCCTCGAAGTCTCGACTCGCGGCCCAAGGGTACGCCGAGACCTCCTCTCTTCGCGTAGGAGTCGCGCGAGTAATCCGACCACCGACGATTACAAACGACGGAGCGACTCGGAGCGTAACGGCTGATTAGATTACGAATTATCTCGACGATCTCCCAGCTGAAATCACGGTAATCACGTGCGCCCCGATCGACGATGACTGATTTATCAGCGGATGCTCGGTCGGACTGACGACGAAAAATTCAGAATCATCGGGCACGAGTGTCTCCTCGTTAATCCCTCCGATAGCCAAACTAACGTCGACGCGAATCGACCAGCTGCCTCGAGTAATGTGACCCTATCGCTTTCGGGATTATTACTCGAGATCGAAGAGGAGACTATTAATAGACCGCGGTCGTGTAAATTGTTAACAAATACAGGAAGCGGACGCTTCGGCAAACGTGTTGACAAGCGGCTGTGGCCCGATTGCGTTTTGGCCAACTTTGGTTCGGTGTTCGGTCGTCAAGGACGCGAACTGCGAAAGGCGAAAAATGCCGATCCGATTTCCGATTGTTCGGAGAATTTGAAAGGTTTCTTGCGGTTCAATGTTCTAGTTTATTGGTGGATGTATTGTTTGTGTAGATTTTACTAAGGTGTTCTAGCGAATGGAATTTATTTGATACTGGGGCTGCCGAGGATTTAACCCTTTGAACTCGAGAGATGACTCTCAGTCGACACTTGATTTGACCCAAGAAAATTGTAAAATTGAAAATTCAATGTTAAATTTTGTATAATGTACGAACACATGGAGCGTCGAAATGAAATAGTTCTGTCAATTTATGCAAGGTATTTCTTTATGTTAATTGCAAAATATATCGTTGATTTTTCATCGGAAAGTAATGAATACTTATTGAGAAAAATATTCTCCAGTGCAAAGGGTTAATATTATAACTAGTGCAATATTGGAGCCTACAGAGATCAAAGGGTTAAGATATCAGTAATTCCGAAACAAAACAACCGAAACCAGTCATTTTGACTGGTACGGTAGTTCTAGTGTTGACCCTTTGCACTCGAAATTTTTTCACTAGGTGTATTCAACACTCTTCGATAAAATATAGACGACGCTTGTTGCGACTAATGTAAATAATTTAATCGATAAATTAAAGGTCAAAACTATTTTACTGTGATATTTCACATAGTGACGCGTTATACAAAGTTTAGTGTTAAACATCATAACTTTGGGTTAACAATTCCACGCGGAAACATCAGAGTTCGATGATTCGAAGCGGAAGCTTCCAAATGGGTTTCGACTCTGGTTCTAACGTTGACGAGGACCAACGTCGATTTCACGGTCTCCAGAAAACGCGAATTGTCGGGACTGAAACGATCGCGCGGCTGCGTAATGCACCGTGCGTTCCGAGTCGACAAAATTCGAACCGCCGACAAAGCGGATTTCGAATCGCGGACGCGATCCTCGCATTCGAAACGAAGTTTCGGTTGAGTCCGATTCGCTTCGAATAGAAAACATCCGCCTGAATCCTCGCGATCGAGGAACCTACCGATCGGAATTCTTCCATTAGAGTTCATTTCGAGTCGTTCGATTCGCCTAATTCAATATTTACCACTTTCGTCGTTTATAAACTATAAGACACTCGGGATATTCGAAAAGAGTTGAAATCGCGTGTGCAGGTTATGTAACGGTGACGTTAGAAGCAGAATATAATCGGTGAGATACGTGCGGATTAAGATAAAACCGAACGATCGGCGTATCTGAGCAATGGATTAAGGTGAATCCATGAATATTTTAGAGATCCCGGCGTAGACATCGTTACTGAGAATTGATAATTCGAGATTAGGAACCTATTAGAACCGCGGACGAAGATACTTTAACACTTTGAACTCTGTAGGCTCTAATACTGCACCAGTTATAATATCAAATATTTTAATGAATTAAAGAAACTATTCTAAAATTAGATTCTCCACGCATCCGAATTTTCTACTAACAAGGAAAATAAAAGATATAAGAAATGTTACAGCATTTCTCATTTTCCCTAGGAATGCTATAAAAATTAGTTGCTGATAGATTACAAAACAACCTGGAGTGCTAAGGGTTAAAATGTAAGTCTTCAACAGTCGAAATTAAATATCAATTATTTAATAGGAAAACAGGAAGCTACGCGCTGCTCTCTTGCTGTTTCACTAATTAACCTGCACTCGAGAGGTGAGTCACCACTTGATTAGATGCAGTAAAACTACAAAATTTGATATTCAACATTAAACTATGTATAATGCATTGACGTGTGAAATATTAGGATACAAAAGCTTTGTTTCAATTTACTCGCGATTCCTCTTCGAGTTCATTCAACTCTCTATGGGCCGAACTTTAGTTTATGATTATAACAATCTATGCAGTA